GAAAACAGGAGATAAAAGATTTTGTATAGATTTTAGAAAAATAAATCAAATGACGATAACAGACGCATATCCTTTGCCAAGAATAGATGATTTATTAGAAAAATTTAGAGTAGCAAAATGGTTTACAACAATTGATTTAGCAAGTGGATATTATTGGCAAATAGAGATGGAAGAAGAAGATAAAGAAAAGACAGCATTTATTTGTAGTCAAGGATTATATGAATTTAATGTTATGCCGTTTGGATTAAAAAATGCACCTGCAATATTTCAAAGAACAATGAATAAAATATTTAAAGAATACTTAGATAAATTTATGAATGTATATATAGATGATATTATAATATATTCGAAAAATTGGAATGAACATTTACAACATATAAAAATAGTATTAGAAGATTTAAGAAAAGCGAATATGATGTTAAAGTTAAAGAAATGTGAATGGGCGAAAATGAATGTAGAATATTTGGGACATATAGTAGGAACTGATGGTTTAAAACTTGATGATAAGAAAATAGAAAAGATTAAAAATTTAAAACCTCCAAAGAATATCAAACAAATAAGAGAAATAAATGGATTATGTTCATATTATAGAAAATTTGTGAAAGGATATTCAAAAATAGTAAAACCAATAATGGAATTAATTAGAAATAATGTTCCTTTTGTTTGGACAGATAAACAACAAAAAGCATTAGAAGAATTAAAATATAAATTAATAAATTATCTGATATTACAACATCCTAATTTTGAAAAAGAATTTATATTAATAACAGATGCATCAGGAGAAGGATTAGGAGCTATATTAGAACAATTAGATGAAAATAATAGAGAAATAGTTATTAGTTATGCGAGTAGAAGTTTAGTAAATGCAGAAAAAAGATATCCGATAACAGAATTAGAATGTTTAGCAGTATTTTGGGGAATAAAATATTTTCATAAATATTTATTTGGAAGAAAATTTAAAGTAATAACAGACCATGTAGCATTAAAAGGATTTATAAGTACATCAAAAGTTCCTAAAGGAAGAAGAGGAAGATGGATGATGGAATTACAACAATATGATTTTGAAATAATACATAGACCAGGAAAAGAAAATAAAAATGCTGATGCAATGTCAAGGTTAATATGAGAAAGATAGAAGTTAAAAATTATAAATAATAATGAATAATGAGACAAATAAAAAATTAAAAATGGTTGAAAGAATAGGATTGGAAATATATATATTTATAATTCATACAAATATAAATTATCATTTCATATTATTTGAAGATAAAGAAATAAAATTTATTTTACCATTTGAAAACGAAATAGAAAATTTATTAACAAATGGATGAAAAAGAATATGATAAAATTTTAAAGAATATAGAAAAAGAATAAAAATATTTATAAGAAAATGGAGTTTTATATAAAATTAAAGATGAAAATAAATTTAGAGTAATAAGAAGATTTGAATTAGAAGGAATAATGTATATGATGCATGATCATGAATTATCAGCACATTTTGGGATTCAAGCTACATATGAAAAAGTAAAAGAAAAATATTGGTGGAAGAATATGAAACGAGATGTAGAAAAATATGTAAAAAGTTGTGATAATTGTCAAAGAAGAAATAATCCACAAGGGTTACATGAATTACATCCAATAGAAGTAAAAGAACCTTTTCATATGATTGGAATAGATGTAATAGGACCTGTCTCTTATACACATCTAGATGTGTATAAGAGACAGGAAATAGAGAATATGAAGATAAAAATTGGGATCAAAGAATAGCACCAATATTGTTTGCATATAGAAGTAAAATACAGAAATCAAGTAAAATGACACCATTTTATTTTACTTATTGAAGAATAGTAATATTACCTAATGATGAAGAAGTTAAAGGAATTACATTGATTAAAAGAATAGAACATATAATAGAAGAATTACCAATAAAAAGACATGAAGCAAAGAAGAATATTGAAAAAGCACAAGAACAACAGAAGAAATATCATGACAAAATTGGAAAACGAAAACAAAACTTTCAAATAGGGGATAAAGTATTATACTTTAACACGGCGAAATACAAAACACATACAGGAAAATTAGAAGAAAAATGGAAGGGACCATATTATATACATGAAGTAATAATAAATGGATCGTACAAAATTAAAGAATTAAATGGAAGAATTTTAAGAAGACCAGTAAATGGAGAATTGTTAAAAGAATATTTTGATAGGGAAATATTTGAACCATATATAGTAATATAATATGTTTGAGACCTGAATTCGATTCTTAAATTAATTTATGGGACATAAATTTTTCAAGAGGAGGATAAATGTAATAACTGAAAATATAATAGATAAATGACGCAGTAAATCCTGTGGCGCAGTAAGTCACATGATATGGTTACATAAGAAGAAATAGTTGGAAACACAAAGTCACGTGACAAGTCACATGGCACAGTAAGTGATGGATAAATATTTAGCCGATGGATAAATAATTAGCCAATAAAATTATATTTATAGTTTAGTTTAGTGTAACGAGATAGTCATATGATAATAGATCTTCAAATTTTATTAGAAATATTAGAAATATTAGAAATATTTTTCTTAAAAATGTATAAATACAAGTG